CGGCGGGCCAGCAATGAGCAAGAAGCGCGGGCGGCTAGCAGGCAGCGTGCAGGCCGCACGAGCAGCAGGCGAGCGGCGTGTGGGTAGCGCAGGCAATGCGCGGGCAGCGTGCGGGCAGCGCGCAGAGTGCGCTGGCAGGGCAGGTGCGTGCAGGGCTGTACGGGCTACGCGCGAGCCTGGCGTGGGCTCTACGGGCTGTGCTTGAGCCTAGCACGGGTTGTACGGGCTGCGCGAGGGCCTGGCGCGGGTTGTACGGGCTACGCGCGGGCCTTGCCCGAGCTGTACGGGCTGTGCGCGGGTGGCGCGGAGGCTGTATGGGCTGCTCAAGGGCGGCGCGCGGGCTGTACGGGCTGCGAGCGGCGGGGCAGGGCAGGGCAGCGCGAAAGCGCTGGGTAGGGCGTAAACAAACGGCCGGGCAGGGCAGAAACGAACTGCCGGGCAGGGCAGAAACGAACGGCCGAGTAGGGGAAAATCTTCTGCCGGGCAGAGGGAAAGGAATGTGGTGGGCCCTAAAAAATAACTAGGTCCTAATCGGGACCTACTCTGAAACCATGTTAAAATTAGGAATGAATGAGGATTAGGTCAAGGGAGGGGGTACAAGGAGAATGTCGAGATGATTTTTGTACCCCCTAAAACTAGCCCCAATACAGCCTAGATATATCTAAGCACATATGTTTTGACATTTTGCCCACCCCGCCCACTCTCCTGTCAGATTATTATAGCTGATGCATGTTTGTAGGCTGTAGTGGGGTAGCACATATGGGGTACAGTTTGCTAGGGTTGTATTTGTACCCAGCTGGGTGCTGAGCCTGGGGGTGCGGAGTCTGGAGGTGCTGGGCCTGAGGGTGCTGAGCCTGGGGGTGCTGTGTCTGGGGGTACTGAGCCTGGGGGTGCTGAGCCTGGGGGTGCTGAGCCTGGAGGTGCCGAGCCTGGAGGTGCTGTGCCTGGGGGTGCTTCGTCTCGCCGGGAGCCGCTCTCTCCACAGGAGCTGCGTGAGTGGTTTGCCCGGCGCTGGAGGCGTGCCGCTGGTGCTGGTGGTTCTTCGGCTGCGGAGGGCGCTGCTGCCACGCGACCTGGCGGTGCTCGTCCTGTGGGTGCTGGAGCTGCTGGGTCTGAGGGTTCTCCTGGAGCTGGTCCTGCTGAGGACGTTGACGCTGAGCCTGCGGTTGGTGGTCCGACTGACGGTGCTCCTGGTGCTGCTGCTGGAGGTTCTGGAGCTTCTGGTGGTTCTGCTGGAGGTGCTGCTGGAGTGGGTGCTCCGGCCGGAGCTGCTGGTTCTGTTCCTGCTGTTTCTGGCGTCGCCGCGCGGTCTCGACCGTACTTCGTTCCGCTCCTGGAGCAGGTTCTTGGTCTTGCTCCTCCTCCTCCTCCCTTAGAGGGTCCGCAGCCTGTCCGGTCACAGCCACAGCTAGAGCCTGCCTCCCCTTTGCCTGCTCCTTCTCCCTACGCTGGTCCGACTGGAGGCCTTACTGAGCGTCGTGAGCCTGCGTCTCGTCCTGCGTCGCCTGTTCGTACTGAGCGCGCTAGTGGTCGCGGGTCGCGTCAGCGTCCTCCTCCTGTCCCTGGCACGCACCGGATGTCACTGCGTCCGTCCACTGCTCCTCTGCGTGCCCCTTTGCCTTCTCCTCCTGCTTCCTCTCTTCCTGCTCTTGCCGACCCGGAGTCGGACTCTCTTCGTGCTGCCAGTCCTACTGTCACGCGTCTCCTTGCTACTACTGTCACTGACCCTTCCTTCGAGTCGTCTGCTGCGTCTGCCCTTGTCACTGAGCTTGTCGACTTTGCTGCGCGCTGTCGTCTAGACTACGCTGCTCGTCTTGTCGCTGAGTCTGAGTCCGCCTGTCCTCCGTCCGTCGGGGGTGAGTGTGCCCTTGGCACGGACGTCCTAGAGGACAGGCAGGAGGAGTTCCAGTGTCTAGCCGCTGCTTCACCTCGTCTCGCGTCTGTACTGCTAGCCCCTGAGGGAGACCCGGATGCACTAGACATCCCGACTCCGCGTTCTTACGCGGAGGCCGTAGAGGGTCCCTACTCCTCTCAGTGGCAGGCAGCTATGGATGCAGAGATGGCTTCCTGGAAGTCCACAGGCACCTACGTTGACGCGGTTCCCCCTCCTGGGGCGAACATCGTCAGTGGCATGTGGATCTTCAGGGTGAAGCGGCCGCCGGGCTCGCCGCCTGTCTTCAAGGCGCGTTACGTGGCTCGTGGCTTCAGTCAGCGGCAGGGAGTTGACTACTTTCAGACCTTCTCTCCCACCCCGAAGATGACCACTCTTCGGGTGCTGCTGCACATTGCCGCTCAGCGCGACTACGAGCTTCACTCTCTCGACTTCAGCACTGCGTTCCTGCAGGGTAGCCTGCACGAGGAGATCTGGCTGCGCCGTCCGCCTGGCTTCACTGGGACTTTCCCTCCTGGCACCCAGTGGAGCCTCCGACGGCCAGTCTACGGTCTCCGCCAGGCACCGCGTGAGTGGCACGACACACTGAGGACTACGCTTGCGGCTCTTGGGTTTGCTCCTTCTACTGCTGACCCGTCGCTGTTTCTTCGCACCGACACTTCCCTGCCGCCGTTCTACATCCTCGTGTACGTCGACGACTTGGTCTTTGCCACAGCGGACACTGCTGGACTCGCCTACGTGAAGTCCGAGCTGCTGAAGAGACACACGTGCACAGACCTGGGTGAACTGCGCAGCTACCTTGGCTTGCAGATCACTCGGGACAGAGGACGCCGCACCATTACCCTGACTCAGTCACACATGGTGCAGCAGGTCCTTCAGCGCTTCGGCTTCACGTACTCCTCGCCTCAGGCCACTCCTCTGCCTACTCGCCACTCACTCTCAGCTCTGCCTTCGGATGAGTCCGTAGAGTCGAGTGGTCCGTATGCAGAGCTTGTTGGCTGCCTCATGTACCTGATGACCTGCACACGACCTGACCTTGCATACCCTCTGAGCATCCTTGCACGCTATGTTGCTCCTGGGAGACACCGACCAGAGCACATGGCTGCAGCGAAGAGGGTATTGCGCTACCTGTGCAGTACGTCGGGCATGGGGCTAGTGCTTGGAGGGCGGAGTCCAGTGGTCCTTACTGGGCACGCAGACGCTTCTTGGGCTGACGACCAGGCTACGCAGCGGTCGTCACAGGGTTACACCTTCAGCCTTGGTTCCGGCTCTGTCTCGTGGCGGTCTACTCGCTCGTCTTCGGTTCTCGGCTCCAGTTGTGAGGCTGAGATCTACGCCGGGGCCATGGCTGCACAGGAGCTTCGCTGGCTCACCTACCTGCTGACTGACCTTGGAGAGCTGCCTCGTTCTCCTCCAGTGCTGTACGTAGACAACAAGGCCATGTTGGCCTTGTGTCGAGAGCAGCGCTTGGAGCACAGAACGAAGCACATTGCTCTCCGCTACTTCCTTGCTCGTGAGCTGCAGCAGCGTGGTCAGTTGCGACTTGCTTACGTGGCCTCTGAGGCCAACACTGCTGATGTGTTCACCAAGGCACTTGCGCCTTGCGACCATCAGCGCTTTTGTACCCAGCTGGGTCTTGTACCTGTCTTGCCTCACTTGCTCTCTTCTTGACTTTACTTGTACTTTGACATATATATACCTGCTCTTGCTTGTCTAGTTTTATATATATGTCTGTACTCCTGCATGTGAACTGGCCTCTGGCCTTGCTCTTGTGCTCGGACTGTGTGGTGACTTTGTGATCCACCCTGAGCTTGCTTTGCTTTGCTTGACTGGTCTTGTGACCCCTTGTTCTCCCCCACTTTGCCTATGGGGGTGTGTCAGATTATTATAGCTGATGCATGTTTGTAGGCTGTAGTGGGGTAGCACATATGGGGTACAGTTTGCTAGGGTTGTATTTGTACCCAACTCTGACTTAGTCAATTCATTCCTGTTCATTCCTTTCACATCTCCATTCCCCCAAACAGTCTTGTTTCTTTTGTTTGTCCCTCCCCCTTGCCCATTTCTTCCATACGAACTTCCCCCCCTCTCCGGCTCACTTCTTCCACTCGAAACTCCCCCCTAGCCCCCCAATTCCATTCGACTCTCCTCCATCCCATCCCGTTTCTCCCCTGTGCTCAACCCACGTGTCCCTCTCACCCCTCCCCCCAGCCCACCTGTTACACTGGCCCCCCTAGCCCATCTGTTTCTCCTGCCACTCCCAATCCATCCATGAAAATTGTTACACTTCAATTATGTAATCTGTACTAATGCTTAAAATTTAAGCGTTTTCTTCCTAAGTAACACTTATTGTCAAAGTTTTTTGCCGTACCAAGGCTGATGGATCAGCGTGGTCCAAAATGAATCCATGGGCCTGGTTACAATGTTGTCGGTCTAGGTTTGTTTAACGAACCGTCCATGCTAACTTGACGTTACTGCAACCGTTGAGCTTCGTGACCCTGTTCGCAAATAACTGTGCGACGTCGCAAACGAAACGAACCGGATGAAACCTTTTAAAAACAAGGTTCGTCCGAAAACACTGGCGACATGAAACCGTTCGATTACCGTGCGTTTGCGATCTGTACGAAAAAATAAAACATAACTTTGCCAAAAGCAAAATAGTACACGCCCTTAATAAACTTGTGCAGAAGGATTTTTCCCTGCACGCAGCACGCCTGTCATCCAAAAACGAGCACAAGCTTTGATGCTGGTTCGGATGAAACTTCCCCCCATCAGCTCAATTTCGCGGTGGCCTTCCCTCATCCGCGCATAACAGCGGCCGTCCCACCCCCCAACCTTTCCCCCAACCGCTTCCCCAAAAGCCCAATGAGGCGGAGGGTCTATATATCCCCCCCCCACTATGGGGTTCGGCGGGACCCCTCTGCCCTGGTTCCGCCTGCCAATTTCTGGCCTCAGCGGCGCTTCCGCGCGCCAGCCTTCCGCCACAAACCTGCCCCAAACCCGTGCGGAAATCTCAAGGCTCTTCCCAGCATCATTGCATCTGGGGAAGAATTCCAGCTGAGATTTTTCAGAGAGATCGAGACCGATTTGGTGGCCCATAGAATAAAGATCCATGGCCGCTGGTGCTTATCTCGCCAAGGCATCCATCGCTTCCACCGCCCGGCTGCATACGCTGATAGCTCCCAGTTCCGTCAAAGTCTTAACTCCGTTCGCTACGCTTTCCCACCGCCCTAGTTTTGCGCAAGCTAAGCCGCTTCTCACGTCCTCCTTCCGCCCGCTCTCTCAGCAGCTTAGGCCCAGGCCTTTAACCCGTCTTGCGAAATTCCCGCTAGTATCACGTGTAACAATGTCGACAGCTGCGGGCGAAGCAGCTGATCGGCCTGTGCCTGTAGAGGATGGTGACTATGAGTGGGATTTAGTCACCATCGGCGTCGGCAGCGGCGGAACCAGGGCTTCGAGAATCGCCGCGTCGTTCGGCGCCAAGGTGCGGAGAACCTGGCTCTTCCCCAGATAGTTTTCAAATCTCCAGGATTGTTTTCTTTCGTCTCGACCGTTGGATCAGATTTGTTGTTGTGAATGAACGGCGACGGATTCAACGTCGTAATTTTTGCTCTCAATCCCTTTCGGTGGCTCAAGCCAGAGATGATTCGCTTCCAACTGCTTAATTTTATTGAGATTGGCACATTTGCCGCAGTTTGACTTCTGCAATGAGACATGTGGAATGCTGTTTATTGGCCAAGAAAGCAAATAAAAATGTCACCGAGAACCATTCAGTCCCGTTGTAACTCAGTGTCTTACGCACGCAACGCCTGCTTACAGTTTGATACTTCGTGCACCTGTAAGCCATCTTCTAATCTCATAATTGACCTGGTAATTGGGGGTATTTTATGTGTTCACCCTTCCAGGTGGCCGCTATCGAGCTGCCGTTCAACCCGATCAGTTCGGAGACGCAAGGAGGCGTCGGGGGGACGTAAGTTGCCTTGATTTTTTTTCCGCAGGCTCTGCCATGACAATCCTTATGCTCTGCGAGAGGCCCTAGTTTTTTTCCAGGACGAGCCTTCGGTTCTTACCAAGGCGAGCCTTCGTCTCTGCCATGACGAACTTTAGGCTCTGCCAGAACGAGCCGGTGCTAGTACGTGCGCTTTCCAGCTCCGCTTCTGCCGTCTGTCGTCGTTTGAAGCGCCCCAGTAGCTATCTGCCTGGTCTCTAGCGTGCTGCGCCTTCTCATTGCTCCGTCATGACTCATGCCCCACGCCAATGCCGCACGCCAATGCCGCACGCATTGCTTAGATCGCAAACAAACACTGTACACGTGTATTACGTCCAGCGTCCAGCCGAGCCCTCAGCCCTGCCCATAGGTACCTACATTGACGCTCACTGCTATTTCGGGTCACTTTTGAGAAGGTTTGAAGAATTCCCAAAAGTCGGCCCTGTGCATCGGTATCCTCGTAGCCAAAAGTTGCCCTTGGATATCCGCGTGCCGTGTCTCTGGCAGGTGCGTGCTGCGAGGGTGCGTGCCCAAGAAGATCCTCGTGTACGGTTCAGCCTTCAGCTCCGAGTTCGAGGTAACCCCGTTCTTTCGCAGCGATGTGGCTGTGCCACTCGTTGCAGTGCGAGTGCAGTGCTGCCTCTCTGACAGGTGCGTGCGTTCCCAAGAAGGTCCTCGTGTACAGCTCAGCTCAGCGCTCAGCTCCGAGTTCGAGGTAACTGGTTCTTCTTTTTGTTTGGGCGGCAATGCGGGTTTGCCACTCGTTGCAGTGCGAGTGCAGTGCGCCACTGTCGATGTGGCTTCGCGATTGATGCTCTCTCTTAGTAGGGACCATTCTCGCGGCGCCTTGAGAGTTGAGTCTCGTCTGGCTTTGATTTGAGTGTTATGCTCTCCCAATTGAGATCGAGGCAAGCAAGCAAGTGCACATGAAGCGAGTGCACCGTGTTTATGGTTGTGCTTGTTGATCGCGAAGCAAAGCCACTACCCTCCGCGTTCTCCGCATCTAGCTTTCCTTCATTGCTTTTTTTTTCCCTGCCCCTTGTTTCTTTCTCTCTCTCTTGCTACCTGATTTGTGCTTTTGCATTGCTCTTCCCGCAGGACGCAGCTGGCTTCGGGTGGAGCATCCCAGGCACGCCCACCTTCGACTGGAAGCACCTCATTGCCAACAAGGTGAGCCGCCTTGATTTACCCTTCTTTTTGCGGTGCCTTATGCAACACATCTTCCACGTTACAGTCCAAACACTACACGCCACCTTGTGTACTGCGCCATACTGTACAGTGTACACGGATCTGTACTTTATTGTACATTGGTGGAATGGCAAGCCGATCTGCTGGGGCTTCAAGCAGTCCTGGTGACGGCGCCTCATCGCAGATGCAGAGGATTGAAACAATATCGCTTGAGTTTTCTCTGCCTGCTGTCCGTTTCTCCCTGCAGGCTTGGGGATCGAGGAGCTCAACGGCGTGTACGGGCGGGCGTGACGCTGGTGGAGGGGCGTTGCGTTGCGTTGCTGCATGCTTCACTTCTCTGACCATCTCCTGTGCCTCCCTTCTCTGCTGTGCTTCTTTCCCTCCAGACCCGTGAGATTGAGCGCCTCAACGGGGTGTACAAGCGCATTCTCAGCAACGCTGGTGTGACGCTGGTGGAGGGGCGCGGCAAACTTCTGGGGCCGCACGAAGTGGAGGTGACAGACCCTAGTAGTGGCATCGTGACGCGGATGACCGCCAAGCACATCCTCATTGCCGTGGGAGGGCGACCCCATTTGATTGACATTCCTGGCAAGGTGCGCTGTAAAAAGGACTGTGGCGCGTCGCGTGGCATGGTCGCACGAGATGGCACGGTCACATGAGATGGCATGGTCGCATGAGATGGCATGGTCGCATGAGATGGCATGGTCGCATGAGATGGCATGGTCGCATGAGATGGCATGGTCGCATGAGATGGCATGGTCGCATGAGATGGCATGCTCGCATGAGATGGCATGGTCACATGAGATGGCATGGTCACATGAGATGGCATGGTCGCATGAGATGGCATGGTCGCATGAGATGGCATGGTCGCATGAGATGGCATGGTCGCGTGAGATGGCATGGTCGCATGAGATGGCATGGTCGCATGAGATGGCATGGTCGCATGAGATGGCATGGTCGCATGCTTGGAGGTGACGGCACGTGATGGGTCAGTGCGCCACATGGTCGCCAAGCACATCGTCATTGCCTGGGGGGCCTGGCCGCAGCTGACCGACATTGCTGGCAAGGTGCGCTTTTGGAAAATGTTCATGGATTGCTCTCGTGGCATGGTGTCCTGTTCTCTGCTCTTCAAGAGTAAGACCTCTCTGGTCTTCAAAGAGCCTCCCCTTGTCCACACGAACATTACAGGCTGATTCCTGGTTGATGAGTCTGTCACCCTTCACTAAATTCGCTTATTCTTGTTTCCTCCATCCCTCCAACTCTTCTCCCCAACTTCTACCACTTCATCCCCGTCCCTCCTCCCCTCTCTTCCCCCCTTTCCCCCTCTCCCCCTCCCCCCTCCCCCCCTCCACTTCCCCTCCACCACCACCAATCTCGCCCATGACATTGCAGGGTGTTTTTGAGAATTCTCAAAAGCACCCCACCACCACCAATCTCTCCCATGGCAAGGCTCGCTATCACATCAGACAGAGGCTCTCAGCCTGGCAGAGTTACTGCTGCTTTGAATTCACCCTTTTTTCTTCCCCTTCTCTCTCCTTTTCCCCTTCTCCCCTTTCTCTTCCCCTTCTCCCCTTTCTCTTCCCCTTCTCCCCTTTCTCTTCCCCTTCTCCCTTTCTCTTCCCCTTCTCCCCTTTCTCTTCCCCCTCTCCCCTCTCCCCTTCCCCTTCCCCCTCTTCTCGTCCCCTTCCCCCTCTGCCTTTTTCCCTTCCCCCTCTCCCCGTTCCCTTCCGTCTCTCTCCCCCCCTCCCTCCCCCTCCCTCCCCCTCCCTCCCCCCCACTCCCTCCCCCCATGGCAGGGGTACGCAATCACATCAGACGAGGCGCTCAGCCTGGCGGAGTTACTTCTGAGCCAACCCTAAAGCCACTTCCTCCCCCCGCCCGTTCCCCTTTCCTTCTTCCCCCCTCTCCCACCCCGACCCCTCCTCTCCCCCCATGACAGGAGTACGCCATTACATCAGACGAGGCGCTCAGCCTGGCGGAGTTTCCCAAGCGCGTGGTCATCGTGGGCGCCGGGTGGGTTGCTTGCAGGGAGGGGGGGAGGGAATAGGGGGAGCGGGGAGAGGGGATAAAGGGGGCGTACCTCAGCCTGGCGGAGTTCCCCAAGCGCGTGGTCATTGTGGGCGCAGGGTGGGTTGCTTGCAGGGGAAGGGGAGGGGGAGGGGATGGGGAGAGGGGCGATGGGCAGGGGATGGGGGCGGGAGAGGGGGAGGGGAATGGGTGAAGGGGAGGGGGGAGGGGATGGAGGGAGAAGTGTTGGAAGATCGGGTAAAGGGGGGGGGGTGGTGGAGTTGGCATGGCGGGGCTCCCCATCCATGGCGGGGCTCCCCATCCATGGCATGCTTCTAAACTCAGCAGCTCAGCCCAAGCCCATATGTGTCTGCCCTCTCCTCTCACCCAACCCCTCCCACTTTTCCTTCTCCCGTCTTCCCTTCCTTGCTCCCATTTCTCCCCTTGCCTCCTCCCCTTTCCCCCGTTTCCCCCCTCCCCGCCCCTCCCTCCCCCCTGATCCCCTACCCCCTCCCCTTGTTACGCCCTCCCCTTTTTTCCTGTGCAGCTACATCGCAGTGGAGTTTGCAGGCATCTTCCACGGCATGAGTCCCCCATTGCGCTTTTGGTCTCCCCTCCCCCTTACACTGCACTTGCCCGCCCCCACTCCCCCCTCTTTCTCCCCCCGCAGCAACATAGCAGTGGAGTTCGCAGGCATCTCCCACGGCATGGGCGCAAGTCTTCTATTGAACCCCGTTTTTTCCCCTCCCCCCCACCCCCCCACTTCTTGCACCCCACCCCGCAGCTACATCGCAGTGGAGTTCGCAGGTATCTTCCATGGCATGGGCGCTGATGTGCACCTCGTGTACCGCCAGCCCACGCCCCTGCGGTATGTGTGTTGTGTGCTGCCACGCCCCTGCGGTATGTGTGTTGTGTGCTGCCACGCCCCTGCGTTGTATGTACCCCACCACGCCCCTGAGGTATGTGTGTGCTGCCATGCCAACGTCATTGTTCGTTACTCCTCTTGATTGCTCATCATTGCTCACCATTGCTCATCATTGTCTCATCACTACCATATTGTGTCATCATTGTTCATCATGACTCATCATTGTCTCATCACTACGGTATTGTGCCATCATTGTTCATCATGACTCATCATTGTCTCATCACTACTTTCATCACTACCTCCTCACCTACTTGTGACTCCTGGTGACATTCAGAGGGTTCGAAGAGGAGATGAGGGGAGTGGTGGTGCAGAACCTGGCAACCAGAACTTGGCGATTTTTTAGTCGATCAAGGATCGCCTCATCGCCTCATCTAATGACCTTCTCTTGCCCTACGTATGCCCAATCGCCACAGGGGCTTCGACGAGGAGATGAGGGGAGTGGTGGCGCAGAACCTGGCGACCAGAGGCATGAATCTGCACCCCTCCACCAACCCCACCAAGGCAAGCAGCAGCGCTCAGATGAGATGAGAGGCTGCAGACTGTTTTCGCATGCCACGTTCTCATGCTTGCAATGCATTATGCAACCCCTCTCGTTCCCCTCACTTCCACTTCCCTTCCTTCCCCCGTGAATCACCTGAGCTTTCCAGCTTGCTCTTTGCTCACTCTCCTGTGGCCAGCAGCTGTCTTTCGCACTGAATGAAACGCAGTGCATTTGGCAATCGTTAAAACACTTTGCTACGAACGTGAAACGCACATGCAATCTACAAGTGCAGAGCAATTCATGTTTGCAGCAATGCGATGTTCGCATGTCATGTGATCTGTTGTGTCCAGATCGAGAAGACAGCATCAGGCACGTATGTGCTGCACACGGATAAGGGAGAGGCTCTTGAAGCGGATGTGGTCATGTTCGCCACTGGTGAGCATCCCTTTGAGACAGTCTGCCACTGAGCAGCATTCAAACCCCTCTCGTGTCTTCCACACATGCACACACTCTGGTGCTGAGCACTCTGCTGCTGTACCTTGTCTTGCCGCTTCCGCTCTCTCAACTCAACTGCCTGTGTTGCCACTGCTGAACAGCACACACAATGCCCTCTTGTCTTCCACACTGTGATGTGCCATGATCTTTCTGTCTCACTTACCTCTCATCGGCTTGTGTTCTCCTCTGGTAACCAACTTTCAATTCAACGTTCTCTTGTAATGCACACGCATGTGCTGCTGCTCCCGTTTGCTTCCAACGTGTGCTGCTGCCAACGTGTGCTGCTTCCAACGTGTGCTGCTGCCAACGTGTGCTGCTTCCAACGTGTGCTGCTGCCAACGTGTGCTGCTGCCATCTCACAGAATCTTGGCCTCGACAATCACACGATGGCTCCTCCCAATCCTTCCCTGCTCCCTCTTCCCCCATGTAATCTCCAATCTCCCCCGTATCATCACAGGTCGTGCGCCCAGCACGCACAACCTGGGCCTCGAGAATGCGGGAGTGGAGACGGATAGCATTGGGGCCATCAAGGTGAGCGAGTTTTGAGTTGTGCGGAAAGCGACCTTTGAGACGTCGTAAGAGTCAACAGGAAAGAGTGAGAGTGGAGACAGACAGCATTGGGGCGATCAGGTTTGTCGAGTTTTTAGTTGTGCGGAGAGTGCGTGGGCGACCTTTGAGACGTCTTAGAGTCAACAGGAACGAGTGAGAGGGGAGTCAACAGGAACGAGTGAGAGGGGAGTCAACAGGAACGAGTGAGAGGGGAGTCAACAGGAACGAGTGAGAGGGGAGTCAACAGGAACGAGTGAGAGGGGAGTCAACAGGAACGAGTGAGAGGGGAGCCAACAGGAACGAGTGAGAGGGGAGTCAACAGGAACGAGTGAGAGGGGAGTCAACAGGAACGAGTGAGAGGGGAGTCAACAGGAACGAGTGAGAGGGGAGTCAACAGGAACGAGTGAGAGGGGAGTCAACAGGAACGAGTGAGAGGGGAGTCAACAGGAACGAGTGAGAGGGGAGTCAGCACTGGGGCGATCAAGCTGGGCGAGAGAGTGCAGTGCGGTGGTGACTCGTGCTGCATGCATTCACGTTGTGCTGATAAGCTGCTATGGCGCTGTAGCACTGTACCGCACTGAACAAGGTGTCCCAAGCTGTCCCAAGCTGTCCCAAGCATGTGGGCCATCATGGCGTGTATCACCACCAGCTCATTCCCCTTCTACCTTTTCCTTCCCCTCCGCCTCTTCCTGTCCCTCGCACCCCTCCCCTCCCCTTCACCCATGCCACCCTGTCCAGGTGAGCGCATGGTCGCAGACCAACGTGCCGAGCGTGTGGGCTGTGGGGGACGTCACCAACCGCATCAACCTCACTCCCGTCGCTCTCATGGAGGGGCACTGCTTTGCGGTGAGTCGCTGCTTTGCGGTGAGTCGCTGCTTTGCTGTGAGATACCAACGCATCATCAGCAGAGAAAATTGTCCCATCACAGTGTTGCCTCATCCAGTCACCAACCGCATCACCGTCACTCCGCTGGCTCTCATCTAGATTCGTTGCTCTGTACTGCATACATACCAGATTCTTAACTCCGTTACTTGAATCTAGGGCACTTCTGTAGTCTGATGGCACTTATGTAGTCGATGGCACGTCAGCGCCTGCAATGACCCACTCCTGTGGCTCGCATGGTAGCCTGGATGTTGGAATCGGGTACACAAAAGGGAGCCATACAGTGGAAAGAAAAAAACACACCTGTGCCTTCCCAACACACTCGGTGAGCTCATCGTCTCCCTTCTCTCCATCCATGCGCACTCCCCCCTGTCCCATACACTCGCCCATGCAGCGCACCGTCTTTGGCAACGACCCCGACACGCCCGACTTTGAGAATGTCGCCTCGGCTGTCTTCTGGTCAGCTGTCTAACCCTTTGCTCTCTCCCCATTGCACCCCCCTGCTGTCGTTTTGAGAGTGCTGTTTCATTGTAATTTTGGGTCAGTCATTGCGCCAACTTGCTGTCCCTCATTTGGTTAGTCAATTCTGCCAATGTGCCCTCTCTCTCGTCAGCAGTTCATTTTTAACTTGAGGCACAGTTACCTGCAGCTATTGTGCTTGCCTCCTCCCGCCCCCTTTTGCATGCTTCCCTTCATCCTAGTCCCCTGCCCTTTCCCGTTCTCCCGAGCAGCCACCCGCGCCTGGCAGTAGTGGACATGAGAGGGAAGCAGGCTGTGGAGAGGGAGGGGGGAAGCATCTCTCCTCATCGTGGACATTCTTGTTGCTCGCCCTCAATCCATGCCTTTCATCTTCCCCCGGGTGCAGCCAGCCCCCCCTGGCAGTGGTGGGCCTGACGGAGAAGCAGGCGGTGGAGAGCTCAAGCAGTGATGTGCTCGTGTTCACGTCGTCCTTCAACCCCATGAAGAACACCATCTCAGGGTGAGAGGCATGAGACGGATGTGCATGCTCGCTAATGTACTGTGTCTCACCATGTGGTGCCACGAGTGTCCTCAGCAACTCGTGTTCACATTGTCGTTCAATCAACCCCATGCAGAACACCACCTCGGGGTGAGAGGGCATGCATTTCCGTGTGTCTCCCAATGTTTCGCCATGTGCTTGCGCGACTTCCCATGCATGTTGATGTGCTCGTGTTCATGCCCTCCTGCAGCAATGTCCTCCTGCATCAAGGGCACGTGTGTTGATACTTTCCCTCCTCTAATCTTGCATTCTCCCCACTCTCAGCCGCGTGGAGAAGACGTACATGAAGCTGCTGGTGGACTCATGTGAGGAGGCACGATGCACCGCCTGTGCACTGGTCCACTCGCTCACATATCTCCCTCTCTGCCCCTGCCCGTCTCCCCACTCTCAGCCGCGTGGAGAAGACGTACATGAAGCTGCTGGTGGACTCGGAGACGGACCGCGTGCTCGGTGCCTCCATGTGCGGCCCCGACGCAGCTGAGATCATGCAGGTGCGTCCTCCCTGCCTAGCCATGCAGGTGAGAGGTAGGCAGGGGAGATAGGTGAGAGGTAGGCAGGGGAGATAGGTGAGAGGTAGGCAGGGGAGATAGGTGAGAGGTAGGCAGGGCAGATGCAGGTGAGAGGTAGGCAGAGGAGATGCAGGTGAGAGCAACATTCATAAGTCATGTCACGGACCGAGTCCTCAGTGCCTCCATGTGCGGCCCTGATGCTGCTGAGATCATGCAGGTGAGCGCAATGCTGGTGAGAGGCATGCAGGTGAGAGGGATTCAGGTGAGAGCTAGGCAGGTGACTTTTGAGTCGACTCAAAAGTCACGAACCGAGTGCCCGGTGCCTCCATGTGTGGCTTGACGCCGCTGAGAGTGAGGCAGGTGAGAGGCAGGCAGGTGAGAGGGAGGGAGGCAGGTGAGAGAGAGGCAGGCAGGTGAGGGTGATGCAGGTGAGGGTGATGCAGGTTACACTGAGTTCAACTGAGGATCAGAGTGGATCAGGGTATACGGTAAAAACAGGCAGTTGAATATTTCGACTGTGGGTGCATGATATTCATGTGTTGGTCTGTTGATGTATGCCTTGAGCTGTTCCCACATTCATAATTGGCGTGCTTGACTGACTTCTTGTTACGCTCCCAAGCTCAGTTTCTGTCCTCAGTGAAGCAACCTCATGTCTCCCACTCTCCTTTGCTTTTCTGCAGGGTCTTGGGGTTGCAATGAAGTGCAACGTTACCAAGAAGCAGGTTGACTCCACGGTAAGTTGAGTGTATAGTTTGAAGGTTGGGCAATTGCAAGGCTAGTGTGCGATTGTAGTTTCTACATTTCTTATTCTATATCATGCGTTTTCTTGTGTTTGCAGGTGGGGATACACCCAACAGCTGCGGAGGAGTTTGTCACCATGCGGACACCAACACGCCGTCTGCCTGGGATGAAGAAGAAAGAGTAGCAGCCTCAGATGGAATTTATGCAGTAGTATTATAATGACAATTGTCTTGGCTCCTTGAGCTAACGAGTGCAAGTTACAGTATTCCGGTAGGTATAGTTTGAGGTCATGAATTGCGTGTTAATTCCTGTCCCACCCACGTGTTTTCACTTCGATTATGACGCATTGATTGACAATGCGGCCCTGTCCACGTCAGTGCAGCCCCACAGCCACTCTATAACACGTAGATGCTCTGTGGGCACAGACTCTTCAGCCAGTGAGGATATCTGGGATCTCCTTGATTTGTCCCACCTTCCCAACTTTCTGGGCCTCCTTTATGCACGTCAGCACTAATTGGGGAAATGCGATTGGTTGAAGCTGGTCCGTCAAAAAGTTTCCGTTCATCAAATCGCGAAAACGACCATAGCCACGAATTCTGCTCTCAAAGGCAACCAAAGGCGACGAAACTAACGACCGCAAAGGAATTTTCGTTGCATGGGAGCACGTCAACGTCACCATCAAGCATTCTTTCGACGATGTCGGAGTCTGCTTGCATGCAGAGATGCTTGAAGCACAAGTCAGTTGACACAAACTGGAAGGAGCACTCACTTCGATTTTTGTTTTCAGTCCCGCTTTAGCCGGCAATAAGGTCACTTGTTTCTCACTTCGTAGTGTTCCAACGCTCCAACTTAGCGTGTGACGCGAAACTCCTCAGCTGTCAGCAGTATTTAGGTTCTTGAACGTTCTTCTGCTATCTTGCGATCTCCGAGTTGTGGTTCTTTTAGTTCGTCGAAACGGCCTAAGACCTCCTACTAAGGAGGCCATCCACATAAACGCCTCCCAAGGAGGACTTCTAGGAACATATTTGAATTGGTACAGGCGAATATTTCTTTCCCCCCGTGGATTGCTCAACGATGGCACAAGCTTGTGACAGCACCGTCTCATCGCGGCATATAAGCCGGAAAGCTTATCGACAGGTCTGAGCGTTTTAATGATTGCTTCGACTATGTCTCAGTTTCTTGTAGGGCACATGGAGCTTATTAGCTTGTGGGTGTTGCAGATGGAGGTCATGATTGCGCTTTTCATCTGGCTCGGGCTCTTCCATTTCAACACCATAGCTGCAGCTATTGCCATCTATCACCTCCCTAGCAAAACGTCGGTGGCAGTCCTTGTCGTCTTGGTAACGCTGGTGATTATTCCCGTGTCCGAGTCCGAATTCGGGATCAAGGTTGCTTCCTTCATTGCCAGAACTGCTTCGACATACTTCCCGATTAATGTGAGCTTGTCATTGACGACCCGTACCTATTAACATCTTTGGGGTTACTCCATACGCATACTAATCAGCGACAGTTGTACTTTTCAGATGATATACGAGGACCGCCAAGCACTGGATCCCAATAAGGCGTATATTGTTGCCTTGGAACCCCACCATGTTTTTCCAATCTCCGCAGTTGCCCTGTCTCCCTTGTCTGGGCTGTTCCCGTTGCAAAAGATTCGGATCCTTGGGAGCAGTGCCTTGACCTACGTTCCTTTCGTTCGCCATATCTGGCGGTGGCTCAGTATGGCACCAGCCACACGGAAGCAGTTTTCGAATCTATTGGCTTCGGGAACGTCTTGCGTCATTGTCCCCGGTGGCTTGCAAGAATCGTTGTTGCTTGAACCATCTCGAGAGGTGAGCATGATCATTAGCATGCGTACGGCCTGGCAATACGGTCTTCGGTAACGTCTAGCGTGCTGACGACCTTGCATTGTTCTGACCTGGGTGTCGTGCGATCTGCAGGTACTATTTCTGAAGCGACGATTGGGCTTTGTGCGGCTGGCAGTGGAGACCAATGCTCCTATTATCCCCATCTTCTCCTTCGGTCAGAAGGACGTGTACAGCTACTGGTTCCCTCGCAGCTCCTTCCACACTGCTCTGTCTCGTAAGTTGATGTTTGCTCCAATGCTGTTCTGGGGTAGGTGGGGGACGCCTATCCCACATCAAAAGCCCATGACCCTTGTGGTTGGGAAACCAATTCCTGTACCCGAAGCTGAGACCGTTGACGCTGCAGTAGAGAAGATGCACGCGGACTTTATAACCGCTGTCGAGAGCCTTTATGAGCAGCATAAATGCGGAGTAGGAGCTTCTCACATTCCGCTGGTGGTGACATGAGTTACATGAATCTTCTGTGCATACGCCGCTTCTGAATTGAAATAATTCGCCGCTCTTTCAGCATCTGAGTGCCAGTGGTCTAGTGGTAGAATAGCACCCTGCCATGAGCCCGGTGCAGACCCGGGTTCGATTCCCGGCTGGCACACGCTTTTTTTGCTTAGCACTCTTGCTAGACCCAGTTGTCCTGTAGGATGCTTTTGCAGTCGTAGATCAGCTGCATTGTAGCTGTTGGCACAGACGGGTTATGAGCTTTTGTTGGCCAAATTTGTACTTTTCTTTATCCGATTGAGTGGCATGTCACCATTACATGGTCCATCAGCTATGGGGAAATCCGGCCCGGAAAAAAAAGTAGTAAGCAATGTGAAGCAATTGGAATGAAATGAGAGCTGTCTCAGAACATGTTCCTACGCCTCGTATCAAGAAACCTCATATCAGACTTGCCTAGTACAACTAGAGAGAGATTTGGGTTTAGAACGCGGGCACTCCAGGGCTGATTTTATCAGGGTAATTACCCTGATTTCAGGGTGATTTCAGACTTGTCACTTTCTGGACCCTGAGAAATCAGGTTTTTCACATTTTGGTCCCTGATCCATTCAGAGTATTGCTTTAGCGGACCCTGAAATTTTGTGTACACTCTCAGTGTAGGGTTTTCACGGACCCTGTCAATACAGAGTACGAGGTCTCTAGACCCTGAATGTGATGTTATCGTGGCGAAGTTTCTCGGACATTTCCTCGTGATAACCCCTTCGCCAGGGCTGATTTTATCAGGGTAATTACCCTGATTTTAGGGTGATTTCAGACTTTCCACTTAGCGAAGACTGAGATTTCAGAATTACTGGGTTCTCAACCCTGTTCAAATCAGAGTAGTAGTTTTCCTACCGTATTCTCCCGGATAAAACACCCTAGGGTATTATGAAAATCACTGGGAAAAAATGGGGGGGGGGGGTCTCCTTAAAGGAAAATCTTACATAATACCCGGGTCTTATTATATGGTATATTTTATATCAAGTAGAAAAGATGTGAAACAAAATCAGGTGTCTGACTTCACTTCAAGATTGTTGACCAGTGCCACAAACCCGAGTATACGAGGATAACGTGACCGCCCACTGGAATCTGCCACGTGGCATATTCGAGTGGGCAATTTTGGCACTTGATAGGGTGAAAACAAAGCCAATTGCGTGGCGAGGGTTCATGCAACCGCCGGCCAGAATCGCGCACGGTGGTGCGTTCTTACTATACCAGTCACTTCTTGACTGGTTTGGTCACGCGTAAGTGAGGTGGGTTGGGTGGGGTATGAAAATGATGTGGCACGATCTAGGCTGTTCAATTTCTGGCCTGTAATCAGCAGAGAGATCCGCATTGGTGCGCTGAAGCTTTGCTCCAGTATTCCACGAATGTGGGAGTGGGATGGGGACCTTTGGATACCATTTGCTCAAAAGTTTACCCTAAACCGTTCTGTACCGTAACGAAACCCCTGATTCCCGATTTCGTGTCGGTGCGTTGCCAGCACATGGGGCCACTTGCAGCGGAAGATTCGCCAGCGTGGCGACAGCGAGATTGTGGGAGGGGGGAAATCTTGGCAGATTTTAAGTGAAAGTACACGCGAAATTTCACATAGGGAGCAATTCTCGCGATATCCTCCCGTAAGGAATCGGACTCGATAACAGCTATAATAGGAATCTATAAGAAAAGGGGGGTGTTATAGAAAATCACCCCAAAAGGGGGGGTATTGTACAAACGGGGTCGGATATAACACCCACCCCGTATTAGCTACCCGGGGGTGTACAATTACGGGGGGGTGTTTTATCCGGGAGAATACGGTATCCCTGATTTTGAGTATAGTGTAACAGACTAGCCTGTTAGTGGACCCTGACTTAATAGGGTATCGAATCTGTGGTCCCTGATTTTGACCTTATCGAGAGGAAGGTTCTTGGAAATTTCCTTCCGATATCCCCCTTCGGTTTGATCGCAGTACAGCCAGCGCATGAGCGATGGACAGCAGCATGTCTGACAGGTGAGTACACTCGATGTTTGTTATTTTCACGAGATGCGAATAAGTTGTTCCACTGTCGTAAGTGCGTGTGCGTAACGTTTCCAGAACCTATTTTGCGTTTCGCATAGCGATGTTGGCCACATTCAGGTATCGAATCGAAATGTTTGGTTGAGCGAAATCGCTCATCTCTTCCCCCCACTAAAACGTGTGCATAAATACCATTTTGTAACACTGAAGGGGTGGAAATTAGCGCGCTCAAAGTGTGCGCGAAACACAGAGCGCAAACTTTACGCAGAGGGAGACTTTCTCCCCAGTAACAAAGGGCGCGTTACTACCCTGATCCTCGATTTTCGACCCTGAACAATCAGAGTTATATACATATCAACCCTGAGCAATCAGAGTAGCATTATTCTGAAAAATGTGCACTCATAATAGAGGGGAAAATTTTTCCCCGGAATCAGGGAGGCTGTGAAGCAAGGAAAACAGGAATGAATGACTAAGGAAAGATTGGGTACAAATACAACCCTAGAAACCCTGTACCCCATATGTGCTACCCCACTATAGCCTACAGCAAATATGTCATATAAATCTGACACACCCCCATAGGCAAAGTGGGGGAGAACAAGGGGTCACAAGACCAGTCAAGTAAAGCAAAGCAGAGCAAGCTCAGGGTGGATCACAACGTCACCACACAGTCCGAGCACGAGAGCAGGGCCAGAGGCCAGTTCACATGCATGAGTACAGACATATATATATATAACTAGACAAGCAAGAGCAGGTATATATATGTCACAGTACAAGTAAAGTCAAGAGGAGAGCAAGTGAGGCAAGACAGGCACAAGACCCAGCTGGGTGCAAAAGCGCTGATGGTCACAAGGCGCGAGTGCCTTGATGAACACATCAGCAGTGTTGGCCTCAGAGGCCACGTACGCAAGTCGCAACTGACCACGCTGCTGCAGCTCACGAGCAAGGAAGTAGCGGAGAGCAATGTGCTTCGTTCTGTGCTCCAAGCGCTGCTCTCGACACAAGGCCAGCATGGCCTTGTTGTCTACGTACAGCACTGGAGGAGAACGAGGCGGCTCTCCAAGGTCAGTAAGCAGGTAGGTGAGCCAGCGAAGCTCCTGTGCAGCCATGGCCCCGGCGTAGATCTCAGCCTCACAACTGGAGCCGAGAACCGAAGACGAGCGAGTAGACCGCCACGAGACAGAGCCGGAACCAAGGCTGAAGGTGTAACCCTGTGACGACCGCTGCGTAGCCTGGTCGTCAGCCCAAGAAGCGTCCGCGTGGCCGGTAAGGACCACTGGACTCCGCCCTCCAAGCACTAGCCCCATGCCCGACGTGCTGCACAGGTAGCGCAATACCCTCTTCGCTGCAGCCATGTGCTCCGGTCTGTGTCTCCCAGGAGCAACATAGCGAGCAAGAATGCTCAGAGGGTATGCAAGGTCAGGTCGTGTGCAGGTCATCAGGTACATGAGGCAGCCAACAAGCTCTGCATACGGACCACTCGACTCTACGGACTCATCCGAAGGCAGAGCTGAGAGTGAGTGGCGAGTAGGCAGAGGAGTGGCCTGAGGCGAGGAGTACGTGAAGCCGAAGCGCTGAAGGACCTGCTGCACCATGTGTGACTGAGTCAAGGTAATGGTGCGGCGTGCTCTGTCCCGAGTGATCTGCAAGCCAAGGTAGCTGCGCAGTTCACCCAGGTCAGTGCACGTGTGTCTCTTCAGCAGCTCGGACTTCACGTAGGCGAGTCCAGCAGTGGCTGCTGTGGCAAAGACCAAGTCGTCGACGTACACGAGGATGTAGAACGGCGGCAGGGAAGTGTCGGTGCGAAGAAACAGCGACGGGTCAGCAGTAGAAGGAGCAAACCCAAGAGCCGCAAGCGTAGTCCTCAGTGTGTCGTGCCACTCACGCGGTGCCTGGCGGAGACCGTAGACTGGCCGTCGGAGGCTCCACTGGGTGCCAGGAGGGAAAGTCCCAGTGAAGCCAGGTGGACGGCGAAGCCAGATCTCCTCGTGCAGGCTACCCTGCAAGAACGCAGTGCTGAAGTCGAGAGAGTGAAGCTCGTAGTCGCGCTGAGCGGCTATGTGCAGCAGCACCCGAAGAGTAGTCATCTTCGGGGTGGGAGAGAAGGTCTGAAAGTAGTCAACTCCCTGCCGCTGACTGAAGCCACGAGCAACGTACCGTGCCTTGAAGACAGGTGGAGAGCCCGGCGGCCGCTTCACCCTGAAGATCCACATGCCACTGACGATGTTCGCCCCAGGAGGGGGAACCGCGTCAACGTAGGTGCCTGTGGACTTCCAGGAAGCCATCTCTGCATCCATAGCTGCCTGCCACTGAGAGGAGTAGGGACCCTCTACGGCCTCCGCGTAAGAACGCGGAGTCGGGATGTCTAGTGCATCCGGGTCTCCCTCAGGGGCAAGTAGTACAGACGCGAGATGAGGTGAAGCAGCCGCTAGACACTGTAACTCCTCCTGCCTGTCCTCTAGGACGTCCGTGCCAAGAGCACACTCACCCCCAACGGACGGAG